CTCGATATAATGTATCTTTACGTTAGAGGTTATCTAAAAAATATAATTGTATTTAAGAACTTTGATAATTTTAACATTTTTCTCATATTATAAATGCAAATTTAGATAAACGTCGCTAAATACCTTGTGCAAACCGTAATCTTCTTCGGCTTCGGGCGCGGAAGGAAAAGTAGGTTTCAGCAAAGTTACAGGCAGTTTAAGGCTACGTGATACAGAAGAATCATATTTCTGAAGAATCAGTAAGTTTTTATATACTGTTATATATAGTGTTCTCAAATTTGCGAGAGAGAGCAGTGAGCTTTGAGCCAAAAANTGTTTTGCAAAAATATCAAATCTTTTTTCGTCATTTTTGCACTTTTGCAATTCCATCAAGTCCTGCGCGACAGTATATAAAATTAAATCATTATGTTTAATATATGTGAAATACATTACTTCAATGTATTATAAAAAAAAAGAATACCTTTTCACTTAATTCAATGTTATANGTTTTCAGAAGAACATTCATCAGAACAGGAACCAGTATTTCTGCATCATTATCTGCTGATTCTGTATGTGAGAAGATCATGTACTTTTTACTTAGTACCATTAATTGATCGGGTGCACCATCGATAAGAACTATTCGACCGTTAAAACCTAAACTTTCCAATCGCGTTGCAAGTTCTATTGCGAGAATAGATCCGAAGGAATATCCAACCATCACAAAATCGTTCTTGTCTCGTAATCTTGTTAATATAGCCTGTCACATATTCAAAAATTTATGTTTTAAGATTTACAAAATTACTTACAGAATATAAACATTATATTATAAATATAATTATTAAAATAACGTTGCGGCATACCTGTTCAAGAATCTCAANCATTTCTGACAAAGTATTCCTACTGGAAATGATACATGTGTTATAATGCAAAGATGTTGTTGGAAATTTAATATACGACTCTAAATGATTAAAGACAGTTCCACAACCATCAATTCCTGGTATAAGAAAAACCTGAGTAGAATTGTCTTTGTTTTCAGTCGAAAAGTCCATAAGAATTTCAGAAAAAAAGTCCTTGTCTCTGACAATACCAAACATAGGTACTACATTTTGTTCGCTTTTACTGCGCTCATTTTTTTCAGATTTATTATTGGCCTCTGTATCAGACATCTCAAACAGTTTTGCAACAGTGAGAGTTCGTATCTCTTTTGGGGAGAGATACACATCAAAATCGCGTTCTAAAGTTTGTCTGATTTCCACTTCCATCAGAGAGTCTATTCCAAGCTCGGCCAGAGATGTATTCTGACTTATTCCCTTTACGTTTTGTATATCTTATCACACAGAATAAAGAAACGTCAAAATTTGCAAAGAGTATAAATATCATACAATAAAAAAGATACAAATCTTTATAAAGTGAGTCCCAGATGCGCACAAAATCAATCGGAGCAGGATGTATCGATCGGACACAGTATCAATCAGACACACGACAGTCTCAATCAAACACAGTTCCAATAGGACACTAGTATTAAAACAAGACTATTTTTTATGTTCTGTTTGTTCGTGTTGTAGCAACGTGGCTAAAACTGAAATAAGGTTTCACATAGGTTTCAACTTTCTGCGCAAAGCGAGAGGAAGGTGCAGAGAAAAAGCGTAACTCCTCCCTTGCGAGGAAGCGCAGCCTCCCTGTCTACACGCTTATAACACAAACAAAAAAAAAACATAAACAAAATAGTTTTGTTTTAATACTGTGTGTCCGATTGAAACTATCGTGTGTCTGTTTCACCTCGTGTCCNATTGAGTCTGTGTTCGATCGGCACATCCTGCCGTGTCCGATTTATTTTGTTCTGAGACTTATCCGTCTGAATAATGTGAATTCTTACTCATAATAGAAGAAACAACATGAACCATATCGGAACATTCGGATATTTTTTTCTTCTCAGCTACCACCATGCTGCTCACAATCGGACGATTCTGAAGTAAAAATTTTTCTAATTCTTCAATACAGGAATATATTCTTTGATGCAACGTGCCGCTGCTAACTAGTTCCATGTCGTTTTCCTGCCTGTCAGCAACGAGACCCACGTCACCAACAGCTCCCCATTGTATCGCCAACCCGTGATATCCTTCTCTCACTCTGTTTTCGCATATTCTTTCCATCACGGAATTGGTCATTCCGTAATTAGTTTGGCCAGCGCTTCCTCTGCCACAGGAAACCGAAGAGAACACAACAAAATGTCGAAGTTTAGGACAGATCTTTCTCGACAGTTTATCCAATATTTGCGTTGGCCAAGCTTTAGTTCTGAAAGATTCTACGAAACTCTCCGTAATCTGATTTTTTAAAATGTTGTCATTTAAAACAACAGCGAGATTAAATATAGCATCCACAGGTGCTTCTTTCTCCGCACGTAGCAAAAGATGTTCGCAATCTATAGGATTGGCGATATTATAATCTTTAACGATCGTCACGTTTACGCCGTAGGATCTCCATAACGAAACCTTTAGCTGTTGATAACCATTTTTGATGCCGCTTCTTGAAATCAGCATGACATTTTTTGCACCTCGGGATATTAGCCACTCGGTCAGTTCCAATCCGAAGCCACCTAGACCGCCTAGTATGATATAAGTTCTATCTTTATGACAATAATAACGACGATGTGCGATGATCGGCGCGTTTACACATTTGTCTGCCTCTTGAATATTCAAAATTATCTAGAAAAAAATTCGCTCGTTGAAGAAAAACGAATAAGAATTTCATTTAATTGTTATATATTAGTTATGTACCTTTCCTCTGTGCTTTCCACTTGCCATGTATCTAAAAGCCTCTTCGATTTCTGTTCGCTGAAAAACTTTAGCTTTTATAGGTTTAATAATACCATTCTTGAGACCATCATCCATTAATTTCATTAACTCGGCCTTGTTTCTGTGTTTTCTCGCAAACATCGCATCTAGAAAAACACCGTAAAAAGAAATTTCTTTTCTAAATAATGACAGGTCCAAAGGATTGTTTGATACATGGTCGAATTTTCCGATTTCCAAGAAACGACCTTTGCGCGCTAAACAACGAACGGATGCGACAAGTTTCTCTTCTGCCAATGAATTCAGCACTATGTCAACACCGCGACCGTTTGTCAGACGCATAACCATTTGCTCGAAACTAGTGTCGTGCGAATTCCCGATATGATCATCGGGAATAGCCGGAAACGTTTCTCGGATAAAACGTTTCTTTTCAGCGGTGCCTACTGTAGTAAATACTTCGCAACCCTCATGTAAGGCGAGATAAATTGCTGACTGTCCAACGCCTCCGGAGCCAGAGTGTATANGTAAGGCGAGATAAATTGCTGACTGTCCAACGCCTCCGGAGCCAGAGTGTATAAGTACTTTATCGCCCTTTTTCATTTTCCCTTTAATGTATAAAGCGTAATACGACGTGCTGTATGCGCAAGGAACCGTAGCCGCCTCTTCGAACGTCCAAGTATCTGGTATGACCCATTGCAAGTCACTCTTCAAAACGACATTCGCGATGCATCTGTAAATCCAGAAAGTTTATTAACATATATATTTATATAAAAATTATCGTATTTTTTTCATGAACAGAGATATATATACGTTTGTTCACTTATACATACTTGTTGTCGCGCATTCCCATTACTCGTCGTCCCTCGGCATCGAATCCTACGTATTCCAGTCCGAGATTCATATTCTCAAATCGATTTTCATTACCTTCAAAAGTTAATTTTCCCGTGGCTAGCATTACATCTTTAAAATTAATGGATGAATAAACTACACGTATTAAGTTATCAGGATTCGGAGAATTGATTGATATATCATTCTCCATCCAACGAAATGTACTGAGATCACCACAAATCTAGTAAGTAAAGAAATATTAAATTTTCAAAAGCATTATATGTTGAAAAATATGTTTAAAAAGTAGAAAACTGAACAGTACATGAAAAGTATCGTGACATTATCATTAAGTCAAAAAAATTCGAATAGTTTTGCTTACCGTTTGACAAACATAAGCAGAGGGTACAAGTGCGGGTTCCGGAGCCGGCAAGCAGAAATAACGATAAGAACCCCAAGTTTTGTTAGATCGCAAAACGTTGACTGTCATATCTTTCTGCAACTGTTGCGCGTAGAAGGGATCTTGCGGAGAAAATTTCGGAGCGGTTTTGTCTTGAATAAACACACTTCTTACGAGCTCACCACCGGGCTCTTTTTTCAAACAATTAACAAATCCCAATAAACCGCACTCGAAATCATCTTCGCTAACGAGTACAATTCTTTTGTACTGATCGAATATTTTGTTCTCGTCTATGAGTAATTTTAATTTTTCTAGCCATTTAAAGTTATCATTGGTAACATGAACGACAGTTGTTTCTTTGATCAAAACTCGTTTCTTCAAAAGCACGATCATTTCGTTTTCAGTACATTTTTCAAGAATAACACTTAATCCATATTGTTGTAGATAATCGTTGTCGGTCAATGCGCAAGAAACAGAATGCGATTCGTTTACTTCGGTTACCTTGTATTTTTCACGTGATAACACNAAGCCACCTTCTTCGAGAAATAATAAAATTCGTTCTAACAAAGTCCGTTTTGACAAAAAATTAAATCCGATAATCATTAACACTTTATTGTCCACATGTTTTGTTAAATTTGCGATTGTTACGGTCGGTGGCAAGTCTAATGCGTTAAATTGAGTAGGCGATGTCATTAGTGTAACATTTGCCTTTACTAACGGCAAATTGTCGCAAGCTTCAAGTATNGCTGAAAATGCTAGTTCTTCTTTGCTCGCAATATCATCTGCATCTTCCACTAGTTCGATAGCTTTTACTTTTGTGATTTGATGATCCTCCAGTGCAATTTGCGTTGATATCCGTATTGCTTCGCGCAAAGAAATNTTTTCGCGATCGCGATGCGCCACAAATCTTTGCTCTTCAATCACAAGATTTGCGTTCGATGTTCGGCAAACGATCGGAGTAGCTTTCGCACCCCAAATCTCTACGCCACCGGATATTACGATGTCTGTTTTTATATACTCGTGCCGGCAATTCTAAAAGAAATTATATATCGAACAAAATGTTTTTAATCTTACAGTTTTTACATCTCTTTACAAGATATCGTCGGATTGATTGTATAATAATACGAACAACAATGATAATGCACAAAACAAACTAATTTTTTGCTTTTGTAAATAAAATACTTACTTGGCGCAGCTGCGCCAAAAATTTATCTACAGACAGACATATTTTACATGTGCACATGTAAGTATCAGACTGCCGTGCATATAAGAATTTCAGTTCATTATATTTGAGGTGCAGCCGCGCCAAGTTGTTTTGCATTAAATATTTTTTATTTTGACAAAATTTTTT